CTAGTCACACCTTTCTCTGTCTTGCCTTCTCACTTAATGATTTATCCTAGAAATCACTTCATAGGTATATAGAGAGCGATTTCTCATTCCTTTTACGGCTGCATAGTTTATTCAACCAGGTACTAAGTGATGGACATTTGAGTGGTTTCCAGGCTTTTGTTCCCTTTTAATATTTATTCATATGTCAATCAAAGTCTAAAGACAGTCAAATAGGACAAAAGTCAAATTCCAGCAAAGAAGGAAGAACCTGGTAAGATGCTCCTATTCACTGTATGGGGATAATTATAGAATCTTGCTTTTGCAACCATTGCTCGTTCATAATTTTTGAGAAGGCGAGTCTTAGGAATCAGATTTTCTGGCTCCTTTCCTCGCCTCTGTGCTGCCCATTTTCTTCTCATTGTTCTTCTCCAAACAGTCTTTTTCAAGGCCACCAGCCTCTGCCAGCTTTAGTCACAGCTCAAGTTCTCCACCTCTCCAAGTGGTTTCCCGCTCCAGCACCGAAGCCTGGTGACAGGGGCTGACTCACTGTCACCGCCTCTGGTGATCACCACGCAGTCAACACTGTTGTAAGGGCAGAGGCAACCAGCGCTAATGGATGGGGCTGGCAGTGGGGCTACAGGCAGCTCAGATTCAGCTCCGAGGCTGCCAGGAGGCGCCGCCATGGGCTCGGGGAATGGAAAACCAGGACTCTCTGATCTACCCTGGCGATTCGAACCAGTGTGGCTGTCCTGCCTTCATTTTCCACGTGCATGGTAATGTGCTACGACTAGTTTCCATTCTCAGAAGATGACATACTTACATGTCACAGACATTTCCGATGTAGATATATTGTTCTTGGCCCCTGGCTTCTAGTCTTTATCTATCACCTCTCAAAGAATAAATCTACTCTCATGTCTTCAAATACCACTCCTATTCAAAAGCCTGGGAGACACCCATTTTCAGCCCAGCAGGTCTCTGGGCACCCACAGCCCAGGGTCCGACACCAAATGTGCTACCCTGACCTGAAATGGCCTGCCTCACTGACGCATGGTCAGTGACACACCATACTCTACCATCCAGCCTTAACCGTCCTGGTCACTCGTATCTGTCCTTTGCCACACACCACTTCATTTGAGCAAGTCTCCTGCTTCAGATATTGATTTACCTGGAGTCATATGAAAACTCAAAAATGACAATCCTACCGAGGAAGGGCTAACAAATGGGGAAGGTCAGCTGGAGGGGAGTCTTGGGCAGCTGTGCTGTTTCCTTGGTTGCATCCTGGGGACACACACATTAGATAAAACGCTGTCGGCATGCTGGTCAAATGGCAAGCTGTGGTAGAAACACTGAATACATGCAAAAATCCCCCCGAAGCCTCCCAAACAACAAGCCTAGGAGAACAAAGAACCCAAAGGCCAGGACAAACGATCCCCGATTAACCACTGAAGTTGATTACATGCGCCTGGCTGGGCCCTCTGAGGAGAGAGACCAGATGAGACAGGGGCTTAACCCACATCCCAGCAGAAACACTAGGGTGAGGTGTGAGAGCTGGAAGCGAAGAGGTGGGCAGTGAGAAGCCATGCCAACCCTCTGTCCTTGGCAGGCTCTCACGGAGAAGGACTGGAACTGTCCATCCCGCGAGGCTCTGGAAAGCAGAACCAGGACCAGCGCCGGAGGAGAGAGGTTCCAGCTTAATAAAGGAAATAATATGTGAATAACTGAAAAGTTGGCCAAACGGGGAGACAGCTCCAGGGACAGTGAGTAAATGACCATGGGACCGGGATACTGTAGATGTCATTCAAACACTGGAAACAAAATTTGTTTACATGGCGGAGAAGAGCTTTTAATATGTCACCACCATCAAGGCTGCCCAGTCCCTTTGCGCGTCCCTCACACCCAACTTTCCTTCCCGCTGCAATGGCTGCACTCCCCTGGCTGCTGACTACCTGGGATCCGGCCTATTGATGTACTGGGTTCTATTCCCTTTTCCCTAAGTCAAGACTTGCCACTGTGATCATCCCCCACAGAGTCAACCTTCCCACCCGCATAAAAATACGCTGTCATTTCTCATCTTAAAAACATAATCCCTCCCTTGTCCTCCATCCACCACCAGCAAAAGTCCTTGGTGAGTTGTCTTTATCTGCCATTGTCCACTTCCTCTCCTCCGTTTTCACTGAAACCCACTCAGGGAGGCTTCTGACCTGTCACTGAGCTGCTCTGTCATGATCATAACCCAGTGGTCAGTCCCCAGTTCTCACTTTACTTGATCCACTAGTGGCATCTGGCGCCAGTCACCCCCTCCCACTTTCTTCAGTGGGAGAGAGCACCCCACACTCTCTTCATTCCAGTGGCACAGGCTTCCCGGCTATTGGAAAACATGAAGAGCTTGGTTGTGTTCGGAGCTTTTGCACTTGTTCCCTCTTCTGGAATGCTCTCCCCCCAGATAAGCGCCTGCATGGTCACTCGCCTCGGGCGTCACCTTTCCAGTCAGGCTTCCCCTGGCCACCTTACTGAAACCCGCTGCCTCCTCCCCGTAACCCTTTCTTCCTTCACTGCTTTACCCCCCTACTCCCAGTCACTGCCATCTAATAGATTACGCTGTCACTCACTTTGTCAATAATCTGTTTCCCCTCACAAAAATGAAGCCCCACCAAGAGTACACTTTTGTTTATTTTGTTCACTAACATACAGTAGTACTTAGAGCCTCAATAAATATATGTGGAAGGAATGAGTGAGAACAATGGAGAAAGAAGGGGAACGGACGAAGAGAATAAGGTCTGACATTTGACTTATGTTAACCCAAGTTGGGGCTTCAGTCCTAATCATTTGGTTTTTGACCACATGTATTTAACATCACATCGTGCGTACTGCCTGGACTGATTGTTAGACTGATTGTTAGACTTCCAACACCAAAACACAAGTCTCCACAGACTCGGGAGCACTGAGCTTGTATGCTCACGTTCTAGAGTCAGTCCGGCAGCTTTGACGCCCAGTGATTTGAAAGGCGCTCTCGGCCAGCCTTCCACAAAATGGGGCTGCGCTAAATACCCAGTCACCAAATAAAATGGTAGAGATTAAAGCTAAATGGAATGTTAAATAAAGCTCTCAGCTGCGATACTATTTTATATTTCTGAGTGGCTGCAAATAATTCCTGAAAGTACTCCAAGTGTGAATTCGGTCTGCCTGGGGCCACCCCTCCCTCTCCTGACCCCACCACCCTGAGCACCCTCTCCCAGGGCTCACTGCAGAGGTGTGCTTAGCTCAGGGAAGCTCGGCAGCTTCAGTGCTCTGACGACACCACCTAAGGCTGAGCTCTGTGAAACTGCTGCTCCGATAGCCGTTCTGACCGATGCGTGCCTGGCCAGGGCACAGCTCAGCGCCTCTGGGTGCTGCTACTTTACTTTGTAAAGCACTCTGTGTGCATTTACGCTGCTTCCCCAAGGCCCCCCCCAAGGCCCGCCTGGGCTGTCAGTATGATCCAGGAGCTTCGGCACTCCCTTGTCACAGGAGTTCAGACCAGTAGGAACACGACGACGCTTTCCCTACTTTGTCCTTGAAAAACCACCAGCAGCACTGCACCTACACTTCTGGTCCTCCAAACAACAAACGAAGCTGTTATAGGTGACTGTGACCAGGACAATGTGTGATTTGTGAAGAAGGGACAGTTCTAAGAAGCAGAAAACCTGCTTTCCGAAAATAGGTTCACAGATAGAAAGTCAGGATTTTGTAAGAAAAAACATAATATAAAAGGAAAAATTGCTAGTTATTTAAGCCAAAAAAACTTTGCAGTTGGCTTTGATTTCATACATCAGAAAGTATAAAATCAAAAGTAAGACAGATACATTTTAATGTAAGAACTTTAAGTCTATGTTACTTTAATCTTATTTTAAATATTTTACTACAGATAGCATTTACGTATCTGATATAAAGTAGATTTTTTTCAAGAATAAGAATTACTTCAGACTATCTAGATCTAAATATATAGGTCCTTACGTCTTTGAGGAATTAAAATACAACATTTTTAAGGCTAGTTTCAAGATTGGAAATACAACCATGACTTTTTAGTATGCTAATATGCTACAAACATGCCAGCGCCAAATCATGAGAACACTGTGAGGCCAGTGTTTCTTTTAGGGCAAGACAGGGCTATTCCAGTCAACTCACTTGGGAAAACCTATGGCCAAGCCATTGTTCTATGTTCCTGGGGAGCAGGGGTCATAAAGACAACCCCTAAGGACCGAGAACTAGAGGGGGAGTGAGACAATGACGTCAATGCCCATTTAGACGGCGAAGTGTAGTAACGGACACGAGGAACATAAAATGCTGGGGCGGAAGAGCACCACCGTGATGATGGTGACAGTCACGGGTGGGAGACTAGCACCGATGACGCTGGCAACAGTTACTGATATACTACTACTAGCATCCCCACCACCACACACTGATTCCCGAGCGATCTAGACTTCACACATCTAATTTATCCAACAATGAGGTAGGCAGCACCCCCCGCCCCCACCATTTATAAATGAAGGAAATGACACTTAAAGACTTTTGGTACATCTGCCCAATAGCTCGCAGACGTGGGTGCAGGTGTAAACCTGGCCTGCCGGACCCTGGCACCTCTGCTCTACCTCCATCAGGCTGTCCCCACGGAGCTCAATGAGGAAGAGAAACATCTCGTGGGAGCTAAGTGACATCACAGAGTAGACCCTTCAGGAATGCGCTTTAAAGGAAAGTAAGAATGTGATGGCGGCCGGCAGTGAGGCCTCCCTGTGAAGGAACACTCCAGAGCAAGGCAAAGAGGGGGCATGGCGGGGGTGTGTGCAGGGGGTACCCTGTACTCAGAGGCCGAAAAGCAGCCTCACAGGACTGGTTCCCAGACTGTGCTCCTTGCAGCGCCCCTACTTCTCCTCAGGTCTCAGGCCCCGAGGAGGAGGAGGAGGAGGAGGAGGAGGAAAAGCCTGAGCCTGCAGGGAGGGAAGAGATGCAAGACACGGAACTGGGAACACTGCCGCTCAGCTCGGTCCCAGGAGGGGAGTCTGTGAGCGAGGAAGAAGCCCAGGCAGCTGGGGCCGCCCACAGGAACCCCGGAAGGCGGTGTCAGGAAGCAGGCATGAATTCTGGCAGACGCGCCCGACTGCAGGTGAGGAAAGAGTAGGTGAGATGGGCTCAGCAGTGGGAGTGGGAGGGAGGCCACACTGCCAGGGTCTGAGAAGTGAGCCAGGCGTGAGGAAGCGGAGGCAGTTAGGTGTGCCAGGCTTTTAAGAACTTTGGTGGTAAAAGGCCACAGGCTGTGACCTGGGAGTAACAATGATCTAAGGAAGGTTTAAAAAGGAATGCACTACCCCAAAGAGGATGTAAAACAAGCAATGGTATTTCCAGAGTTAATGTTTAATTTCCTGAGTTCACTGCCGTGAGGTTTTCAAACCCTTTTGGCATTCGCATCCTGGCATGCCTATGCACTTAATTGGGGAGATAAGTGCAGTAGCAGCTCAGAAAGAAACCAAAAATCCTCTGTAAAATGACATTACGTTCTCCTCAAACTTCTAATCCCCCAACGAGTTCAACGATAACATAATGGTTACCGGTCTTTCCTACAATTGGTAAAGACAGGTGCCCCCAGATGTAGCGCAGAAGTTTGCTGAATGAACACTAGCCTGCAAAAAACCCAGTAACACGTACAATAATGATTACTTAAAAACTTCGCACCTTCTCCATCGTCACATAATTTGCCTTTGTGTTCATGTTTTCTTTGCTTTACCTTAAGTCACCCTCTAATCATGCTGACATAGACTACTGATGATTATGCAGACCTAAAAGTGTTTTAAAACAAATGAAAAATACTGACTCCCATTCCTGGAAGTCCTGCTTCCAATTTTCAGGAGGAAATTAAATAATGTATAAATCAAACACTGGGCCTCAGCCCAGACAGCTGAGCATCGTTTTGTCCTTTCAAGGCAAAGAGGGAGTGTCCGCGACGGCAGGGACCCGCCAAGAGAAATAACTGAACCTCAGCCCATGTGAAAGTAATTTCAGAGACTCGGGGGTGTCTGCAAATAGGTTAAAAATGGGACCACATACTAACAGGGAACGTTTTATGGAAGTTAAAAAATGTATCAAGATCTAACCCCCACCTTAAAAACAAAATATGTTGGGAAATGGCATGGCCTCAGACATTCTATAAAAAGGCACAGAGGAAAGGCAAAGCAGGCAGGGAGGGGAGAGTTGACAAGTGGAACGGAAAGTTAAATATGTCCCCCCCCCCTCCCTTTACCACTGCTGCAGGTTCGCGCTTTGGTTTCTGTGTAATTGCCCAATTCAAAATGGTGTAAGCGGGAAGGCGGAGGGGGAGAGGGGAGAGAGGGAGAGAATATGAATGCAAGTGTATGGGTCGAGTGGGAGATGATGAAACAGTAACTTAGATCGGGGCCAGCAGATTTATTCTGTAAAGGGCCAGATGGCAGTATTTGCGGCTCCGTGGGGAACACAGTCCCTCCTGTAACTCCTCGGATCCGCTCCTGCAGCGTGAAGGCAGAAGCCATGTGTAAATGAGGAGGGCGGCTGTGTTCCAATAAAACTTTATGAACACTGAAATGAAAATTTCATGTATTTTTCCTCGTCTTTTGATTTTTCCTCAAATCACTTAAAAATGTAAAACTCTTCTTAGCTTACGGGCCTTACAAAAACAGACTGTGGGATATGCCTGACCCGGAGTTTGCGGAACCCCATTTTACGCAGTTAACTCCCCGTTACACAGAACATTCCCATGACAGAGGGCTTGACTCAAGTTTGGGGTTCTGGGTAGAAAAACTGCTGCTCTTTTTTTTTTTTTTTCAATAGCTGAATAAAAAGATCGTAGTCATGGTAGAAAGCATTTATTTGGAAGAAATAGCAGATCCTCTAACCCTAAATAAATAAAAAGACCAAGCATCTCTACTGTTTTATAGAAGGACACTCACGCTAGTATGAAATCAAAGCTTATGCAGTAAGAAAGCTGAAGCCAAACACTGTAAACCATTAATGTGCTGCATTATTCAGGGATCAAGAATGATTGAAACATATTATCCCCTTTATCAGAATTTAATATTTTATAAACATCCTTGGCAGCATAACGCTGGTCTGGGATTATACAGAAGTTTCCATCATCACCTCGACGGAAGCCAGGGAGCTGGTGACCGGCAGGGCTCTGTGTGGAGCATGTGCTTTACAGATCACATGGCGATAAAAACTTTATGGAGCCTCGGACCTAGGCTTCCAGCAACCAAGGAAATGTAAAAAGTGCAAGGCACCTATGTTCTTAGTTTTTGTGAAACAAAGTATTTTTTATACATGAAATGTTCTGTTACGGAACAAACACTGCCCTGCCCTTTCTGTGTCACAGGAGAAAATCTGTAAAACATCCTGGTCGGTGTCTCACGGCCGTGCTGTGATAGGAAACATGGCGTCCCTCCCTCTTCGCTTCCCCTCTCTGTGTGTGTCTGTCTGTCCTTCTTTCTCCCTGCCCTCTCCTTCCCCCGTTAGTTATCTGAACAAATCAGTCTCCTTCTTTAGGGGCTGCCTCGGTCATTCCAACCTTTTGATAAGCCTGTCAGAGTGCTCTGTCCATCTGGCCACAAGGGTGGCTGCACGACCCCATCGGTCGAGGCAGGTTGTACTGTAAGGGTAACAACGATCCAAGGAAGGTTTAAAAAGAAAGGAACACGCTATCCGAAAATGGTTGTAAACCATGATTATTTCCAGAGCTGCACTTTTATGGACCAATCCCTCACAGTATACAGGAGCCCGACCAATGTGTAGTGTATACGCACGTTTCAGAGAACTTGGAGCATACTTTATTTGATGGCAAGTTCTGGGCAGGAATGCAATCCTCAATTATAATACTGTTTGTAGGAAATATAATTCCTTCAACAATGATCTGTTTTGTGGCCGTCTGCTGTATGGCACTGTTTCTAGGAATTCGCTGTGGGGAAAACAGCTGCCTTAGTCATCCACATGGAAGTGATTGAGACTGGAGGGAGAATGGCTGAGCAGAAAGGCCGTGTGTGAGGAGGCCGTGGAGATGCGGGCAGGCCGGTGAGTAGCCTTTTCGTTTCTTCTCTCCTCCCATCCCGTGGCTTTTGTTTCGTTTTTTAAATAGACTATTTTTTGAGCAGTTTTAGGGTCACAGTAAAATTGAGTGGAGAGTCCAGATAGCCCCCGCCCCTACATACATACAGCCTCCCCACTATCAACAGCCCCACCAGAGGGGACACTTGTTACAATTGATGAACCTACATTAACACGTCATTATCACCCAATGTCCACAGTTTACATTAGGGCTCATTCTAGGTGTTGTACATTCCATGGGTTTGGACAAATGTGTAATGAGACATATCACGTCACAGAGAAGTCTCATGGCCTGAAAAACCCTCTGTGCTCCACCTGGTCATCCTTTCCCCAAACCCCAGGCCCTGGCAAGCACCGATCTTCTGATCTTCTGTCTCCGTAGTTTTGCCTTTTCCAGAATGTCATAGAGTTGGAATCATGCACTACGTAGCCTTTTCAAATTGGCTTCTTTCACTTAGTGATATGCATTTAAGTTTCCTCCATGTCTTTTCATGGCTTGGTAGCTTAATTGTTTTAGTGCCAAAGAACATTCCATTGCCCGGATGGACCACAGTCGTTGTCCATTCACCTACTCATCAACATCTTGGTTGGCTCCACACTCTTTGTCTTCATTCGTCTTTTATTTTAACATCTTTCATCTGCTTTAAAGTCAAAGTATGTCAGAAGTAGACATGATGTTAATCAGCAACCCACACAATCCTCCAAACAGGCATGAAGAAACGGAGGCCCAGAGGCGATGAGGCTGTCCCCTCCCTCGTGCACATGTCTGAGCCCAGCCTCCAGTGTCGAGCAGCAGATGCTAAAGGTCCTCATCGGACACCTGCAGGTTTCAAGAGCTACGCATTTCTGGATTAGGATGCTTAATCCAGGTTTAACCCCCAAAAGTCACAGCCCCTGCCCCCCTGCATCCAGTATTATAAAGGAATGTGACTTGTACATCTTTTAAAATGTATTCCAGCCATTTGCTTGCCAGTGTTAGAGACAAAATATTCTGGTAATAACTTGCTCTTCACAATGATTCAAGGAAGTAAGTACTATTACCATAACCATGGCACAGATGAGAAAACTGCCCAGGGCCAGAGAACAAGGAAATGTCAGAGTGGGATTCGAATCCAGGTTTACCTAAGTTCAGAGACAGTTTTTGTCTCTCTGCTATATTTCCAATATGTATATGTGTATGTATATGTATTTCCTATACATTTCTTCTAGTTGAAGCTTTAAAAGAAGCTGTCTTTTGAACCAGAGATAATGCGAACTAACTGCAAAGGCATAATAAATTTCAGATTTCTTTACCATGGTCCTAAATCCTGGGGTCTACTTCAGTGTCCATAAGATGCAAGGTGCCACTTATACTATAAAAAACATACAGATTAAGATTTAAAACTTCCACTTAACGCTTGAGCACAGAGCTCACCCTAATGTGGCAACCTGACTACTTTCAAAATGTACCTACCCAAGAAAAAGCTTCGGTATTGTACTCATGCATGTATCATATGCTTTATGATTTGATAATTTCATAAATAAAAATTAAGGCATGAACCAAGTCAGTTACTAAGAACATAAGCTGGATTGCCACCCGACTTTCCTTTCCCTCCAGGTCATTGTCCTGGCCCCAAAGAGACTAAAATAATGAAAAAACAGTTGTAGGTAAGACGGTTTAAAAGCACAAACTAAACAGGAACAGAAGAGGTGACTAGAACTTTCTGCAAACACTGCCGGGGGCTCATCATTGGTTTCTGCAAGATCCAAAATCATTTACCAGAACTGTGAACGTGCAGACACAAGGGGGAGATGGGCTGTTGTACACAGTGTGTCTGTCTGGGTTGTCTGCATTTCACTGGAACATGTATGAGGTGAGAGTGGTGGAAATTGGAGGTGGTAAAAAAAACCCCCCAAAACAACCAACCATCCAAGAGTCTGAGGAAAGGGTACTGCAAAAAAACTTAAGGTGAACATAATTCAATTAAACTACAAACTGTTTCCAGCACACCTGGACGTGAAGGCGAATATATTTGCACAACTCAAGAAGCAGCCGCAAACGTACTCAATCACGCAGCCTATGAACTGTGCAGACACAAGGGGGAGATGGGCACAAGGGTTTCCGACCCATCCAGCAACTTACTTTGGGATTCTTCCTCTTACTGAAAATTATGACCCTCAGTTAACTGGGCTTTGACCAAAATGTTTCCGACCACAGCTCTGCCAATACTCTGGTGAGATCAAGTGATGGTTCTTCATTCTAGATTCTTGCCTCCAGTTCTTTTATCCAGAATGACATCCTGTCATTACCAGATGGCCTCTCCAAACACAGGGACTATTCTAATGGAGAATCCAAGTATCATTTCCAGATTAAATCAGTGTCTAAAACTCTTGTACCAGAGAATTGGGTAACAGGATATGATAGGGTTTAACAAAAGTTATGTATTCTTTATATAATTAATCTGAACCTTGCTCAAACCAGAACCAATCCAAACTTGTTATCATCAAATACCAAAACTCATACCCAAGGGAACAGGAAGTGAGCACAGTCCCTGTCTCCGGAGAGTGCCTGGTGAGCACCTAGGACTCATGAAAATATTTGTTATGGTGGTTAAGATTCAACAGGTTCAGGTGGTCCCAAAAGAACTTTCCAGAGAAAACTGGAGACTTTTTAGTGTGGTAAACTGTCACAAAAATTTAATGGCACGCATTCCGTCTTTCACTCACCAAACGCTTATTAAGTAAAATCTGGGGGCCAGGCACACATGGTCTTCTTTGGTCAATTAATTCACTCTAATATTCTAAAGCCTTATCGCTGTACTACAAAGGCATTGTTTCTAGGAAATAGAAATGGTTCTCAGATCACTACAGAAGGGCGAGCACTAAAATAATTGAGAAAACCGTTTAAGATTACACTGAGCCACCACTATCTTACTATATAGACTATTTTTTTGTGTGTGATAGGGAATATGAGACTGATTATCAAGCAGGTCAGAAAGTAGGAAAAGGCAATAGTAGAAACTTAACTTGGGCAAAAATGTTGCATAGATGATACCACCAATAGGGACAGATCCCGGCCCAAACACTGATTATGTAAAGCAGGAGACTAATGGATTACTTGTCACTTCAGTATATTCAACCTGACTTTCTTAGCTAGAAAACAGTATTAATTTACAGAAAAAAAAATCTTTCATAAGTGCATGACCATCACACATATAGAGCTTCTCCTTTCTCTTTGTGCAATAGATCTATAGTAATTAGAATTTTACATAATGAATTAATTTTCAATGGGGAGAAATTCAAACAAAATGAAAACTAGTCTGGGTGATCAAGTCCATTAAGATGATCCACAGACACCTCAAACTCAGCATCTTTACATTTTTTAAGTTTGGATTTCTGTCTATAATTTTTTCAAAAAGAGGGGGTCTGATCTGATTATGTACTGTGTTGTGCATAACAAAAGGTAAGACGCAACCTTAGGACAGTTCCTTAACATGGATTCAGTAGTCCGATGGGTAAAATCAAAGATTCACCAAGTAGACTCAAGCTGAGCCCTGCGGATTGGATGACTCAACCCAGCCCGCACCTACAAAACCACCAAAAACCAGTCATCCTCACTTCTTTCCCAACAATGTGAGAGCAACGGTTCCCTTTCTGTTTCACTCAATAGTATGAGGTATAGTAGCCAAAGAGGACACGGCTGAGTTAACGGAGAGCTGGTATGGAAGCCCAGGACTGGGCGATACCCTGCCAGACCCCTGCACGTACTGCAGCTGCACTGGGTGAAACCAGCACCAAACCCCACCCACTTCTCTCCTCCCAGAAGAAAGGGGAGGCTCCGGTCATGCACATGGGCTCTGCACAAACCCCAGGTTTCTGGGTCAGTTTTTATTACTTCAGCCACTGGTTAATTACTGCTCAAGGAAATAGCAGTTGAAGACACACAAACTGGCTTATGAGGTGACAATAAGTACAATGCTAGGGAGGATTTTCCGGAAGAACTGAGAAAAGGAACCTAAAGAAAATGGGTCTTCCTGAAGCAAGAACACCTAACCCAAGAAGGAGGAGTTAGGTGAAGAGGGTTAGAAAATCCTACAAAGAAGAGACAGTATGAAGACAAGTGCAAACAGGAGACAGACATGCACAGGGAACTTAGCACCATTTTGTTCCTGAAGTAAAACAGATGAGGCCGGCTGATGAGGAGAGGCCTCTGATGCACGCTTCCCAGGAAGGCTTTTAAGCAGCAAGTAACCAGCAGACTAATTAAAAATTCACCCAGTGCTAGTCTTTCAGAGAATCAACTGATGTCGGAGGTGAGTCATTTACACTGAGCCCCTTCTGTGAGGAAGGATGCGGTGATTTCTACGCACTGGGAAAACGACTTCCCTGGGTGAGAGAGTGCTACCTGACTGTCATAGCTGTCCTGGGCATGGCACCCTGGCACCCTGACTCCCTGAATGCATCATGCACGGCTGACACGGCCCAAGGGTAACGCCCATATTCACCACGGTAGAGTTTCACCTAAGAAAGCAAAGCAATGGGCCGATACTGTACTCAGTCTCACAACCAGAACAGAAGGGTCCAGAAAATAAGGATGAAGGTCGACCAGATCTAAAGATCTAGTCTCAGAATTTTTGCTTCCCCATCTTAACAAATGTCTTTCCAGCTTAAAGTTTTAGTTTTCAAAAGACGGATGCCTCCACCTGCAGACATCAGATTCAACTGCAGTGGGAGCTAAGTCTGCCACTGCTCAGTGTTTTTTCTCTCACTGACAGAATGGAAAAAAACAACAACCAACAAAATAAATCCCAGGGTGGGCAAGTGGGGGGTAGGACTAATCTCTGGGCAGAGCTTATATCGCCAGGGCCACTGGCGAGGACTAATGGACGACTCACAGCTGCACCCAGAGCGCAGAGCTTTGGGCAGCGTAGGGCTGGCTCACGCCAATAGCATAAGAACTCTACTTTGGGTGAAATACTAACCAAAGGCAAAGGGGAACCAAGTGTCAGTGGAGAAAGTCATAAATACCATGGCCCCACTGCAAAGTGCAGACTGCGTATGAGTGTAGCCCCTGCCACTTCGTCCCTGTTTATAGAGTATCTAAAGAAAAGTCCTACCTCTTTCCTTTTCTCTTTCCTCTTTTAAAAATGATACTCTATTTTGTCACTTGCTTTTCCTCTACTGTGTTCCTTTCCCTAACTATTGTATATAGAGGATACCGGTGACACTTAAATTGGCAGTTTAATCCCTAGGTTTCAGCATCTCGGAAGGCCACGGGCAAGGTGGGAGCATGATGGAACCACAGAGAATGAATGGGCATCAATAGGAGATAAAGGACCTGGAGAAGAATGGTCACACAGTTATCACTTCTGCATGCTATTTTCAGTTGGTAGGGCAGAGTAGTTTATAGTTGTTTATAGAATAACAAGATATTGTTTCACCTATGGAAGTATGGGAGGTAAGTGTGCCTAATCTGTACTCAAGAACAGAATACACACATTTAATCGATTACATATTATCTCACAATGCTTTCCCCTTCTCTGGGAAGTGCCCTGAAATTAGTTGGCCAGCAGCCAGATCTCTAAGGCATGACCTTGCCCGCACCTCACTCCCGTCAGAGCTAATTAGCGGAGTGGCAAGCACGTGACTCAAATGGGCCAATCAGATTCCTTCTCCAGGGACTACAGGCCTGAGAGACAGAGGGTAGCTGGTTCACCTCAAGTCTGCAGAGCAGTCATAGTTACCGGTTGCTTAGGGCAGTGGAATCCTTCTAGCTCCTGACCATCCAATGCCTATTCCAAAATATCCTCATAGTCTATTTTGAAAACATTCTTTGTTTGGTCTGTTTTGTTTTTGCTCAAGTTAGTTCTAGCTAATTTCTCTTACGACAAACAAACTTTATTATATTCTTATATCGGCTGATACTGAAATGCCATTTGTCGAGTCATCATGCTGAAAACACTAGAGTCAGTTTTGATGCTCGACTTTTAGTCCTATTAATTCACCAACTGTCAACTCTTGCAATTGTTGCTATTTACTCTCATTCTTTTTTCATGTGCAGTGTCTTCTTCCTACTTTACACCACTCTTACCTGATAACAGTTTTCTGACTAGCCATTGGCTCCCAGATAGTTTTCCTAAATCACAGCTTTGATAGCGAAAGTTCTCTGGCGCTTATCTAGTAGACGACAAGCTTCCAGCCCGCCATGTCCCAGGCTCCCTACACTAGAACCCTTCCCTTCCTTTACAGCCTCACCTCACACACTGCTTGACATGCCTGCTTCTCTGAGCTCTGGGTTTTACTGAACCCCATCCTTCTCTGCCTCAAATGCAGTCTCTCCCACAGTCTCTTCACAAAAACTGTACTGATCTTTTAAACGTTAACTTTGCTACGAAGACTTTTCTGATCCTTCCCCATTGGATGAACTCTCTGATTCCTTCAAAGCTTCAGTGCCTTTATTTTTATTTCCATTTCTGGACAGCTCTTGGCATTTTTTCACCACTTAGGTTGAAACTTTTGTGATCTGTGCCTTCAGTGAGGGTTAGATTTCATCCTGGAAACCTGTGGAGGAAGCTGAATTT